AGGAGTAGAAAGTACAGATATTTGTGTAAAAATGTAAGGAGTAGAAGTAAAAAGTCGCCATAAAAATAAGTAGTAAAGTAAAGCAAAAATATCACAAAAATCTACTTGAGTACAGTAACAAAGTATTTGTACTTCGTTACTTCCCATCTCTGCTTATTTGTGCAAACAAATTAGGTTTTGATAAAAATCCTTTAGGCTAAAATGCCATCAGAACGCTGATAATATTAATTTCCTAAATCTGCCCCAGAATGATGCTGCCACCACAACACAAGCATTACTTTATGTGACATAAAAACACTGTAAATTACACTAAAGTTATAACATAACTAACTGTGGAAACCTTTAACAGGATATTTCTCACCTTGGGATTTAAAATCCTACAAAAATAGAACAAATAAAAGCCAGCAACAGAAAGCCCAAACAGAAATAAACTGAGAGATTATAACTGCTTTAATAAAAGCTTTATCATTTATTCAGCACTCAGCACTGAAGGGAGGACAGGATAAACAAGTCACACCCTCATATGAACCTGCGCTCTGAAATCCAGGCTTTTGTCGCATGTGTGATATTAACCCACATCATGAAATCAATCTGAACGCTTTTTTATTAGATTTAATAAAAAAACTCATCATCAGTAAGTAAATAACCCCCCTAAAAAAACAACAACAACAATAATAATAAAAATAAATCCCTGCAGACCAAATAGTGACCTCTCCGTGGTGCTGAACTGTCAATTCAAACATCCAGGTTCATTATAGCTCTGCAATGTAGATTCTGTCATGCAAAGATCTTAACATGCTTTTTCTGGTATTTCTAGAAATCCATATCATGGCTTTATACCGCAGCCTGCAGGGGTGGTTGTTGTTGTGGCTCCCTCCCCCCCTTCGCCGCATTTCCCCCCATCTAACATGTAGATAAAAGAGTCGGAAATCATATTTTCTTCACATTTAGAGTCTCCAGAAAGCGCAGCTTTCCCCTGCAGCCTCATCCAGAGCTCCAAACATCTGGAAGCATCCTTTCCTCCTGCTGCTGCGCTTCACATCGACCTTCATCATGAAGCATCGAGACTGCACCATGCTGGCATCCTCCTGCTCCTAATGTCAGGCTGATTCACCGCCACAGACCGGCTCTGTTTCCAGCACCAGAATAAATCTTATAAAGTGTTTATCATGCATGCATATGTTTGTTTGATTTCCTGCCTCTGTGCATAGAAAGGGATGTTTTCACTTACCGACATCAGTGTTGTGGGCGGCCCGCTTTGTACAAACGCTCGTGCGTTGATCAGATCCGATTGCTCTCCAGAATAGGGGGGGTGGGGTGAAGGACTGGGGGTTCAGGCAGAAAGACTCACAGCTCAGCAGCCCTGGAAGCTGCGTGGATTTAAAAAAAAAACACCCACGTGCTCCCTCAGGTCTTAATTGATTGATCTCAATATATTAGAAAGTGACCACAGAAATCACTCACACTTAAACAACTGATCGATCATATTTCTTATACTAGTCTAATGGGAAATATATATGAAAAGCTTTTTGTAATTGTTTTATTATCTTTTATTATAAACCTTAAATATTATGGTGTTAGAAAAAAAAATATTGGGAGCATGCGATTTTTTTCATTTTAAAATAAATGTTAGAAAAAGATCGATTTATCTGTTATCGATTTGAAAAACTACACTCTTCGATCTACTGATTATGCCTGAGAAGCGGGACCGTCTCAGATGGGACGTCCGTGTCTTTTACAGGGATCCGCTTCTTTAGGCTGAGATACGTTTACAAAAAAATAAGAACAAAATCACACTTCCTGATTCAATTATAGTTTTTGATTGTAGATTGTATCTTTCAACTTACATTTATTACGTATTCTTTGATGGAAAAAAGAGATATTTAAGCCTATCTGGGTTTGATTATTTTGTTGTGTTTGTTAAATCCAGAAATTATCATAATTTTCTAAAAGTTGTTTCAGGATAATATGGTTGATTAAAGGTCAGGGGTTTAATTACACACATAAATTTCGGCCTATATACTAACAAAAAATAAATCAATCAATATTTTTTACATTTATTTATCTTGTACAATATGCACTGCTCTATACTTTAGCTGTAACTATAAAAGAAATACCTAAAATAAGATGAAACATTGTTTTCTGACTAAAAAAATTATTGTGGAAGTACATATTAACTAAGTAATTAATGGAAATGTGCAAACACATTACATTCTTACAGATTGAATTTTTATCCCAAATAAATATAAATGAAAAAATATATACCTATATGTCAAAATCTGATTTGACTTCCAATCTTAAGATCGTAAAAATAATTATTAAAATGTGTGAAACTAGATAAAAACTAAATAGGGGATACCGCAGCAATGTTTTCGTGTGTATGTGTGAAGATTTATGTATCCTATATTTTATTGATAAGCTAAGTTTGACGAAGTGCATTTAAGCTGCAATTGAAAGGAATTAAAGAACAGATAAGAAAAGTGCAAAAGCATATATATATATATATATATATATATATATATATATATATATATATATATATATATATATATATATATGTATGCATTAGGTTTATGTAATATGTTTTCTTTACATAAGGCGCCCCATTAGAACTCCTCCCACCCCTACATAAAGGTTTTGACCAGGACAACGGTGGGCTGCAACTTTTAAAGTTTGTTTTGCTGCAACTTTTAAAAATGTCAGGATTTCACAAGTTATATGCACAAGGGAAAAAAGGTAAGATAACACCAACGGCTGGAGGGATTTTATGAGTAAATGTTGAAAATAAATTGAGAATAAGTCAGGAACAGGTCAAGGAATGGAGTTGGTGTAGAGGGGGGCCCAAAAAGACTGAGTGGTCCCGGGCCCCAGTAAAGCTGTCAGCTGGCCTGGGTGGCATGGATGCCTCCAGTAAAGGACATTCAGATAAAAATGACTCTGAATTAAAATACTTATCATTTATTGAACAGTATGTAATAATTTCATATATAAAGTACTTTCAGAAGTTTGAATTCTGAATATAGGAGGATTTTCCTCTAAAAAGTTCCCATGTTGGAGTCCGGAAAATGAACCGGCTCAGTGAACAGGCTCAGGAACGAGCGCCACATTTCCTCCAGAGAACCTAGCGCTCCTGTTCTGACTGTTGTTCAAGTTTCCACCGCGTTCATTTTATTCAGCGAGGATTCCTGCAGCTTTAACGTTGGTTTGATCTGTTTCCATCAGCCTGCATCATGAAGCCGCGCTTCAGAAAAATGCTTTGACTTTAGTTTCTGTTCCAGCATGGCAGAAAGAACGAGCAGAGGCAAACTGAGGCGAAGCTTGTCTCTGAAGAACAAGAAGAGACAAGAAGCTAAAGCTGGAAGTGCTTCAATCAGCTCTTTCTTCAGCAGCCAGCCTCCACCCAGCCTGGCCTGCCCCCTGTGTGGACAACTGGTCCCCAGATTCAAGATCAATGATCACATCGACCTGCAGTGTCAGAACTTTGATAGAGGAGGAGGAGGNTAATATGTTTTCTTTACATAAGGGGCCCCATTAGAACTACCCCCACCCCTACATAAAATGGTTTGACCAGGACAACGTTGGGCTGCAACTTTTAAAAATGTCAGGATTTCAGAAGTTATATGCACAGAAAAAAAGGGAAGATAACACCAAAGGCTGGAGGGATTTTATGAGTAAATGTTTAAAATAAATTGAGAATAAGTCAGGAACAGGTGAAGGAATGGAGTTGGTGTATAGGGGGGCCCAAAAAGACTGAGTTGTCCCGGGCCCCAGTAAAGCTGTCAGCTGGCCTGGGTGGCATGGATGCCTCCAGTAAAGGACATTCAGATGAAAATTACTCTTAATTAAAATACTTATCATTTATTGAACAGTATGTAATAATTTCATATTTAAAGTACTTTCAGAAGTTTAAATTCTAAATATAGGAGGATTTTTCCTTTAAAAAGTTCCCATGTTGGAGTCCGGAAAAGGAACCGGCTCAGTGAACAGGCTCAGGAACGAGCGCCACATTTCCTCCAGAGAACCTAGCGCTCCTGTTCTGACTGTTGTTCAAGTTTCCACCGCGTTCATTTTATTCAGCGAGGATTCCTGCAGCTTTAACGTTGGTTTGATCTGTTTCCATCAGCCTGCATCATGAAGCCGCGCTTCAGAAAAATGCTTTGACTTTAGTTTCTGTTCCAGCATGGCAGAAAGAACGAGCAGAGGCAAACTGAGGCGAAGCTTGTCTCTGAAGAACAAGAAGAGACAAGAAGCTAAAGCTGGAAGTGCTTCAATCAGCTCTTTCTTCAGCAGCCAGCCTCCACCCAGCCTGGCCTGCCCCCTGTGTGGACAACTGGTCCCCAGATTCAAGATCAATGATCACATCGACCTGCAGTGTCAGAACTTTGATAGAGGAGGAGGAGGCGGCGGAGGTGGGAATGATGCTTCACCTCAATCTGAGCTGGAGCAGAGAGAGGAGGACACACAAACCAAGACCAGCCCTTATTTCAAGAAGAAGATCTGTGATCAGACCCCACGTGACATAAACAGTAAGACTGTGGTCAGAGCCATTGGCTTAGGGAGTCTCTCCTCAAAGCTTTCCAGACATGATCGCAGCAAACATGCAGAGGTTAGAGATAAACCTGACCAGATGAGTGATGCTGAGTCAACCAGCAGCTCCCAGAAGGAAAATGTTCAGGTGGAAGACAGCAGTGGTTCAGTGGTCTGCAGCAGCATGGAGCCTCCAGCAGCATCAGCTCCACTGCCTGCAGAGAAACCAGCACAGGTAGAGCTTCCATCTGAACCACCTGCAAAACTAACGAGGAGGAAAAAGAAAGCCGCCTCCTCTGTCAGAGGAAAGAAAGCAAAATACGAAGGTCAGAGAGAGTCTGAGGAGGCGTCTTCTGGTTTGGGTCCAGAGGAAAGCAGTGGGGGACAGCAGGAAGCTGATGCGTCTCCATCTCCCCCTGACACCCTGACATCAGAGGAGGTGAAGGAACAGAAGCAGAGGGAGGATTCTGCAGAGAGACCTGCTGCTCCATCACTTCCCTACTACCTGAGGAACTTCCAGACCGTGCTGCACGCCGTGTTGGAGAACGAAGACGACAGGACACTCTTCAACCAGGAGGACATGTCCGCCGTCCATGGATTCCAGCGGTTATCTGGTAGGTTCTGAAGCCATTGAGTACATGGGTGCTTCTAGACAGGGGCCAACGGGGACCAGTGCCCCTGTAGATCATCTCATGGCCCCTGTACTGAAGACAT